GAAGACTGATCACCTTCCTTCTCATCTTAGTTAAATGAAGTATTATGGCATGCAACTCATTATTCCAAGCATATGTATCTAAAAGTGATGTTTGTTTGTGTGTTGATACATGTTGCATTTCATATGGTGGTGAGTTGTGAGTATTGCATGGAAAGGAATAGGATGGGTAGGAGATTGAAGGATAGGAACATAAGATAAATCTGGTCTTTCTGAGTGAATTTGAGGTTGTTTTAGAGCTTAGGGAGTTGAAATACTTCAAGGAATAAGATATTTGAGGTGAATAGGTGCTAAGGGTAAAATTTGGAAATTTTGGAAAATGGCTATATATAGGGACTTAGGACTGGAGAATTTCATTTGTCAGACAGAGACAGTTTCTAGAGAGCTGAAGTAGAGAGAGAAGCTCTGGTCCGGAGGGAAGCTGAGGACACATTTGGGAAGCTTAACAAGCCAGGATCAATCTTTATAACTAGAGTATTAAGAGATTTAGCCTCTAGAAGCTTGAAAAGTGAGATTAAGTTTGAATTGGAATTTGAGGGTTTTGTTCAAATCTTGCATTTCTGAAGTTTCTGAGGTATGGGTAGTACTTATAAGACTTAATCTAGTATGTATGGAGTTGAAATATCACATTGATTCCATGTTTTACGCATGATTGAGGCTGGATTGAGCTGGAGAGGGTTTGGTTAGGGTTCTTCATGATTTCCTACGATTTTCATGGATTAATGGTTAATACTTTTTTTATCACTTAATATGTTGTTTTTGGATGGTGTTTATACTCTATAATGGTTCGGAATTGTATAAATTTGGTTTGGGATTCATTTGGGATGGATTTTGGGGGTAAAAATCGGAGTTTTCGAACTTTCGACGCGTTGTCTGATGCATGTGCGCTGAGCGCACGCGACGACGCGCTAAGCACACTGAAAAACAGAACCTTTTGTTAAGATGCGCGCTGAGCGCACGCGACAACGCGCTGAGCGCATTGAAGAACAATGCTTTCTGTCTAGAGCGTGCTGAGCGCATTTAGCCATGGGCTGAGTGCATTTCGAAATGGGCTGAGCGCACGGGTCTACGCGCTGAGCGGTCTGTTTCCAGTGGCTCTCTGTCTCAAGCGTGCTGAGCGGACGAGTCTACGCGCTGAGCGCATATAGTCATGGGCTGAGCGCACGTGGTGACGCGCTGAGCGGGCAAAGCCTAATAGGCTCCCAGTTTTAGTTGCGTTGGGCGCAAATACCATTGCGCTGGGCATGTGGTTTCTTTGAGGAAAACCTTTTAAAATTGGGTTTTTATGAAACTTTTAAATGTTGAATCATATCATCTTTGATGTTATATATTTGGTATGGAATGTGGCATGGTTTTGGAAAAGATTGCATGTTATTATGGAATGTGCTTATGTGTGTTTGGTTTGGAAAGCTAATAGGACTTAGAGGAGTAAGGTTATGGTATGGATTGAGAGATCTCTTGGTGAGATCTGGATATAATCTTTGGGAAAATATAGAATTTGGGGGTCCCATGGTAAGGATCCCAATATGGAACTTTTCCAAAGATTATATAATAAACCACTTCAAATGTTAGGTGGATTCAGAAGTACTCCTCTAAGTATTCTATTTGCTACCGGTATGGGGACAAGGCCGAGTCATACCGATGGATGAAGTGGCCGCAATCACCAGGGTTACGTGACGACATAACCCAACTGTATATTTTTCATGAGGGGTTAGGTGTGTGACATGGACAGGTGACATGTTCACGAATTCAACACTTGGTTTGGATGTGTTGAGGTCAACATTTGGTTTGGATGTGCTGGCTACTTCATGGGATTATACAGTGGTGTGACTTTGGTTTGGATGTGGAATATATATGCATTTGGTATGGATTGTATACATTGGTTATGGATTCTTTATTATCATAGAATATGTATGCATTGGCATGGATGTGTATACATTGGAAATTGGATTGGTTTATATTTGGCATGGAAATGACTTGTTATAATGTTGTCATCCCCTTGGTATGGATACATACTGTTGATGAATATCTAGTTTAATGATATTTCATTTTATTGTACTATGGTTGTTTTATACGTGCTAACCCTTATATTTCCATGATGTGGACTATTATGATCTCACTATGTGGGGGAGCAGATCAGGTGTGAGGCTTTGGGATGACAATGAGTCTTTTGGGTAGCTGCTTTGAGAAGTGGCTAGACTTAGAGCTTGACCAACACCTAGGGTGCCTTATTTTGATATTTTCACGATGTTGTAATTATATTATCTTTTTGGATGACTGTATAACCTTGCTGAGAATGAATTTTTTATAAAATTATGTTTTATATGATGAAAATAATTTATAAGTTATTGTATATTTACACTCTAGTGTAGCTAGCCTTTGCTATATTTTCTTTAATATATATTATTTTATTTTAATTGTCATATTGGTTGTTGATGTGACGGCCTAAGACGGGTCGTTACATTATTGTGTTGTTTAAGTTGAAAACATCAATGAACCATATTGTGTAGTTTATATGTTGCGTTGATATGTTTAAAGTTGTTAATTGGAGTTGTGTTGTTGATTCAATAGTTGTTGATATGTTGATGTTGGTACTATAGTTTACTTATGTACTTGTTGTGTTGTCTTCTGTAGGCTTACCTTACAATTTTTCTTGTGGTTAGACTATGATGATCATGAGAATATTACAAGATTTGGCTACAGGATGAACAAATTTTGGAAGCCATGTTGGAGGATGATGATATTGCTTGAATTATCTTGGTGTAACAGTTTTGTAATTGATCACACACATATACAATATGTCAATGAATTACTTGCATAATAATCTTAATTAGTTAGAATTGTATCTTTTGCTACTTTAATGTTAAATTAAAAAATATAATGACCTACTAAATCGTTACATTTATAATTATCATTTTATTTAATTTTTATGAAATTTCAAAATCAACTTTTTCTGCGTCGAGAACGCATTACTTATATTCTTTAAGTATTATACTATCAATAATAATTTTAAACATAATTTATAAGTAATTATTAAAATTTAAAATTTTAATTTATATGATATTATTTAAAAATGAATTAAATAATATTTTAATCTGACAAGAAGTCATACTTAAATAGGCTGAACAAATGGATAATTATACTTTTTTTATAAAAAAAAAAGATGAATTGAATGCGTAAATGGATAATATCCGATCCCGAAATGAGGATATTTTTTTAAAATAGAGAGAGTGACGATGATTTGAATTTTAAAAAAAGTAATGAAGAAATGAAAAAAATGAAAGGAAAATGAGAATGATATAATATGAATAAAAAAGCAGAAAGGTATGATCTTATCTTATGGCATGGAAGGAAGAGGTGGCAAAAAGCCATAAACGTTGAAGGCGGCGTAAAAAGCGAGCCCCATTCCATTGCTTTTGCTTGGCCCTAGTTCAGTCGGCAATGCCACTTTTTCCTTTCTCTTTCTTACGTCATCCGCCACCTGTCTCCACCCCCTCACCCCTCCTCTTCCCACCAAACTTCACCAAAACTATTTTTTACATATGTTACACATAAATCATTTTTTTATTTAAATATATTTTAAGCCTCTTAAATTTAAAACATTTTTTTTTAGTTTTCTAAATTTAAATTTTTTTTTTTAATTTTTATAATTTTATATTTAAATTTTATTATAAAATATGTGAAATATTATTATACAAAATATTACATTAAATTAGATTAATACTGTATAATTATCTTAATTTATATTTTTAAATATGTTATTATTATTTTAAGAAAATAAAATAAAATTTTTAAAAATTATAAAAATTAAAAATAACAATTTTAAATTTGAAAAATAAAAATAAATTTATTTTAAAGATTATTAATTCTATCTCAAATATAAATTTTGAGGCTTAATTTGCATGTACAACTGTATTAGATAATAAATTTTTCCTTTACTATTTATAATAATCTTAATCGATTTAAACATAATTATTCTCAATAAAAATATATATGAAATTCAAAAAAACTCAAATTTATTTTTTTAAAACAATATTAGAATTTTATTTTTAGTAAGGTTAAGTTTAGAATTTCACCTTTAATAAAAAGTAAAAAAAAAAGGTATAATAAATAATATAATATAATAAAAAATTACTAGATCACTCTAATAATAAAAAATTAATATAATATACAATGTCTAAACTATAATATTGTTATTATAATTTTTATTATTAAAATAAATTATGAAAAGATAAAAAATAAAATATTAATAAGATATGTTAAAATCTTAGAGAAAGATCCATGTGCAAAAGCACAGCCAATTAACTCAGAGAGAGAAAAACACATAGCGACACAAAAAGAAAAGATCTTTAAGTGCACAAACAAACTGAAAGGTAACTATTCCTACACAAATTTTATTATAATAATGAGATATCTCCAAATACCACTGTTCATGAAATCCAACTTCCCATGTTATGGTCAATAAATTCGCCTGGATGCACCAATATTGGATATCTACTCACATCTAATGAAAAGTATATACGTTAATAATCTTTCTTACAAAGCTTTAAAAAGTGGTTAAATATTTTAATCATACAATTAACGATTGACTGTGTCATGTTATAAAAAGTAAACATCAACAAGTGAAATTTAGATGCATGATAATCATTGTCTTTCATTTGTGACACACATATTAATTCTCTTATCTAAAAATTGTGTTTAATGAACTAAACATCATATGGCAGATAATAAAGTTTGTTAGTCGGTGAACATTAATTATTATTTATCTGTTTAAATATCCGGAATGAATAACATGTATAATGTTTTATATATTTAAAAATTGAATAAAATGAAAATTTTTAATTGATGTTAAAAAATAAAATAGAACTTGTTCTGATATGCTAGAACGAGGAAAACAAGAAATGAAGGGTTTTATATTCAGAGTAGGGTCACATGTTGGAACCCAAATGAGAAGGGAACACTTTTTGGAAAAAAAAATGAAAAGGTAATCTTTTTGAAAAGAAAAAGACTTTGTAATAGAAAAAAGGGAAAGAGAAAAGGAAGAAAATTTTGTTATTTTAATGCAACGAAGGAAAATAATAAAACACAAGAGATGGTACTGTGGTGCAGAGTGTCTTTGATGCCTCACGTTGTTTGTGCTTTTTGCAGGGTGGGGCTTTTTCTTGAGAGGGATTTTAGTGCAAGTGTGATGTCTGTCTACCCTTGAAAAGTTGTCTTGTGTGGAAACAAATTCAGAAAGAGAAAGCCACTTTTATTTTTATTTCTGTGACTAATATATCTGATTTATTTTTCCCCTATGTAATGGGTTTTGGAGGTGCTTAGTTTCAGAGTGTGCAACACCAACAACGCCAACAGCATCACCATCACCATCACCATCAACATGTCTCAGACAGATAAGGATCCGGGTATCAGGCTATTTGGCAGGAAGATTCCGGTGCCGGAATGTCAGATTCCGGCCAGCTTTGGACCCATGGTACATGCTTTTTTTCATGTACCCAATATTAACTATTTTATTTCATTTCTTCATGAATCATGCTTCTTATTTTTTTAATCCTTGCTTGTGTAAAATGGGTTGGACGTAAGTTTGGATTTTTTTTAATATTTATTTTATTTATGTTTGTGTGTGCCCTTATGGGGTTCTTGAGGTTTTTTGATATGTTCTGGGTGGTTACGAGAGTTCATTTCAAGCTTCAAAACTTTGTGAAATTTGAAGGGTGGTATTGTTTCTTAATAAATGGACTATTTTTTTTATATTTTATTTTAAACTTTTACTAGGATGTCTTTCTTTAGAATATATACATATATGTGTGTTTCAGGTTTAGACTTTAGATTTGTATAAACGAAGGGCATGTCGGTGTTCAGTGGAAGCAAGTTATTATTCCGTGAAATATAACTACGAACTTGTTCATTTTGAATTGGTGGAAAGCAGGTTCTTATTCCAATGAAATTTAGCTTTGAACTTGTTTCATTTTGAATTGGAACATCTATAGTTATTGTTGTCGTTGTTGGTGGTGTGATGGAAGCCTGGAAGGTGTCTGTTTCATCTGAAAAACATGAAAACTTTGATTACTTTCAACAGATTGGATCTTATAATCTCTTCTATATCTCTTGTCTTGGTTTGTCCCCAAGAATTTGGTCCTCTCATAGTGTTAAAGGCATTTTATAGACTAATTTAATTTTCTAGGTGTTCTATCTGGTGGTCTCTTCTGGTCTGGCATTTATATACTATAATTGCTTTGAAGCCTTTATGCTTTAATAATAAAAGTCTTTTGTTTAGCAATTTAAGTATTTGAGTTCAGTTGAATCATTTGTTAATGGTCAGTAGTAGATACTTTTGTTGTAAGGGATGAACTGAATTTGAGACATAGGTACTACATAAAGCAGGACCTGTCATCCAAAAAAAACTAAAGATCATGACTTGCAAAATACATGATTTCCCACTATGTGGTATTTTATAGTAAATGAATATAACATGATCACTCGGTTTTTTCACTTTTGTTTCTCTGCCTATTCTTTATGTTGTTAGTTTTGGTTCTGCTTGATTTATCACTGATTGTGGTTTAAATTTTCAGGATGCTTGCAGCAGCATAAAGAAAACAGAAGCGGAAATACCAAGTGATTGTGAAGAAAACTCTGAGCAACAAGAAAATTCTTCTGATTTAAGGGATAGTAAGGTGCAAGGAAATGAGCCAAAAGTAAATCCTAAGCCTGTGGAAGATAACATGGAGTCTGGTATCTCAGATCAAGACAAAGTCTTAAAGAAACCAGACAAGATTCTTCAGTGTCCACGATGCAACAGTTTGGACACCAAGTTTTGTTATTTTAACAACTACAATGTCAATCAACCTCGGCATTTCTGCAAGAACTGCCAAAGATATTGGACTGCTGGTGGAACAATGAGAAATGTTCCCATAGGAGCTGGCAGAAGGAAGAACAAGCACCTAGCCTCGCAATACCGACACATCATAGTAACCTCTGATGGAATTCCAACCTCCAGGCTAGAAACCACAGACTCATCTGGTCACCAACAGCAGCATATCACAAGCCTTGAATCCTCAGTTCCATTCATATCTTCAACAGATAACAGCACTGTGTTGAAATTTGGTCCAGATACCCCTCTTTGTGAGTCCATGGATTCGATGCTTAACCTTAGGGACCACAAAAGATGTGTTGATGCAAGTTCTCTCACTTGTGTAGAGTATGGAGGGGAGCCATCTTTGTGTGGATCTTCTGTGACAAATAATGGTACTCAAGGAAATGATGTATCAGAACATAATACATCAAATTGGTTACAATGCTACCCTGTTCCTCCTTGGGTGTTGCCTTATCCAGGTTGGAATAATGTGAATTCAATGGAAGCAGTTCATCAATCTTCAGCACCAATGTGTAATAGTCCATACAACACTGGTCCTGCATCAATGCAATGGTGTCCCACACCAATGGTTGCAATTCCTGGCATGTGTCCACCAAGCATTCCTTTGCAACTTGTGCCACCATCATACTGGGGTGGAACACCACTTTGGAATGGTGGAACTGGGGCTGTATCGATAGGATCCAATGCTTGCCTTTCGCCGTCTTCCTCCACTAGTAACAGTTGCTGCTCTGGCAATGTCTCCCCGACCCTTGGAAAGCACACTAGAGATAAAGATAATGCTTTTGCTGATGAAGAGAAGTCAGAGAAGTGTGTTTTGGTTCCAAAGACCATTAGAATTGATGCCACAAATGATGCCTCAAAAAGTCCTATAAGGGCTGCATTGGCTATCAAGCCTGACCAACTGCAATCTGTATCAAAAGGTGATGTTTTGAAAAAAAATGAACCAAAAGAAGGCAATGATCGTGTATCGGGTGCCTCTCAAATCTTGGAAGCCAATCCAGCAGCAATTTCTCGTGCTCATGCATTTCAGGAGAGCATGTGATAATTTTCTAGCTTCAAACTTTCCCTTGACATTTTTTGTCAAATAAACTGGTGCATATTGCAGGCTTTTGTTTCACTTGCAGAAATCTACTTTGCAGGTAGCATTACTTTGTGGAATCCATTGTGTGATTTTCATTGATGTACTTAATCTATATTGAGCTATGCTCTCTGATAATGATGATTTTTGCCTTTGTCACAATAAACAACAAATTGATAGTGGTTACTTTCTGCAACACTCCTCATTTAAGGTAGTGTATATAGAAAGTATAGGATGATGCTATTAATGTATGTTGTCCATGTCCATTGGTTTGAGATGGATGAGTTAATGATTCAAATCTGTGAACTAGAATAATTCAATAGTGTGATTTTGATTCTCTTTGTAAAATGTACACTTTTTTTGAATTATTTCCTAGGAAAGCATTATATTATAAGGTAAAAAGTCATGAAATTATAGTATGTCACATTTGATCATGTAAGAAGTCTCTTTTACGCTGGTGAAGTCATTATCCTTTTTCTTTTGGGGACACTACCCTACCTCGTTTTCTTTATCTTTTATTTGTCTAGCAAGGAGCAAGTCATAATTGGAAATGCTTTGAAGTGCAGTTCTAACCAGGCAAAGACTGAAGGTCCTTTTTTGCAAGTGCTTTTACTTTATCACTTTTTCCCATCTTTCTTGGTGCCATTAATCTTATTTACTTGGCCAAAGTTTGTATCTGTCTTAAAAGCCTTGTTTTAAGGCCCTACTTTTTACGATGAAAAGATCCCTTTACCAAACAAGTAGAGGTATCTTCTTTTTGGTCACACAACCTGTGGAATATATGCTTTATTGACTCGTGTCAAAAGAATGGCTCAAATAGTCCATTTGATAAAAGACATTCTTTTCACTTAAAAGAAAAAAAAAGTAAATCAAAACTATAACAATTCTCCTGCCTCATTGGTTACAAGTAATCCTATGCTGACCATTTCTTGTTCATCATTGATGATTATGGGCCTTGTTTTGAGATAAAAAAAAAAAAAATAAATCATTGGGCCTGAATTTTCTTCAAAAATTTTGGACAATTTCTCCATGCACCTTTCCAATTCTTCCATATATCCATAATATTTTAAAATTTCCTAGACTACCATTCTCTCTCCCTTAACTATTTACTTATTTCTTCCAAATCCTTCATCCTTCACTTATAGTCTCTGGAACTCTGAGTTTTTATCTCTATACAATTGGTTTTTCAGACGGCTAGATATGCATCCAATTTGGATTATTATTTTTCCAGAACAACCAAATCCCAATAATTGCTTATCCGGAATAATAAATTTGGAACAATGTTGATTTGTTATAGGTGTTTCGGAAAAATATTGTTCCAGATTGTGTATTTCAGATAAGTATTTATTTTTCTAGGATGAGGTCTTCTAGATTGTGTGTTCCAATAAGGAAAACTTTTGAAACTAGTGTTCCAAAATTACATGGTTCCAAATTAGATCTTCCAAAAAAAATTTCTCAAAGTAATGGTAATTTGAAAATTTTATAAAAGTGACGGGTATATGGCTTATAAAGTCATGAACAAGAAGAAATTCCACAATTTTTGAATGATAAGTTATGAATCAAAGATTTTGAAATAGAAATAAGCCTAGTCACCTTTGACTCTTAGTCAACCAAATGATAGGTGGATGTCTATTGCCGCATCCCATTCTTGTTCAGCCTTCTGTCAACAATGCCCTTCATTTCTCAAGTGCATTTAGATTTCGTAAAAAAGGAAAATAAAAAAGGTATAATAAGTTAAACTTTTTTATGAGCAAAATCAATTTAAACGTTAGATACAAAACTTTTACAAAAATTGAGCTGTATAATTTATTAATTTTTATTTTCTTTTTCTATAAGTGTTTAAAGAAATATTTATATTATTTATTAAATTAAAACAATGAAATAAAAAGAGGGAATTTTTAAATAGAAATAATAATAAAAATAAGAACAGGTTGAAACATCTTTTATGGCAACCATTTCTTTTAGTTGAATTAAGTGCGAGTTCACTAATTATTGACTTACCCCCGACAATTAATTATGTTGTTTTTTTATCGAATAATTTTGTAAATTAATTAAATAAACTAAAAATTAGTTTATTTAATTTGATACACCAATCAAAATTTTAGTGGGTATTAAATTAAATTGTTACTCAACTCGTAAATTTCCTTTTATTATCTTTAATTGCTAAAAGCCTTAGTTTTTTGTATAGTAAAAGCATTTTAAACTGTGATGTATTGCATTTGTTTAAAAATATTTTAAACATGATGAGACTAAAATTCGGTATATAAAATTAAAATGATCGAGGATACTATTAAAACTAGGAAAAAAAATTAGTGACAGAATTAAATTAGAGATATAAAATTAAAATTGGTCTCTTATTTTAATATTTCTAATAGGAGGCATTATTAGACTTTATTATCTTTAATTTAACAAATAAAGTCCTGGATCAATTTGAATATTACTAAGTACTAATTAATTATTAAATAGATGGTGGTGTTTTTAAATTTTTTTAGCATATTATTAATTTCTTGTCTGACAATTATGGAGTGTTATTTCTTATTTATCATTTTATGTTGTCCAATTTTATCATCTTTAACTTTTAGAAATGAAATTAGTCTAATTAGAGATGAACTTCGTGATTTTCCGTCTCTAAGTTCACCACTGGTTCATTCTTTTCTAGTATTAGAACTTGATATAATTGGTCGACGGTTAGATTAGATATGTGAAGCATGATAATCATGATTTGATCCCCCTAACCTTTTTTTTTTTGGAAAATAAAAATTATATTCACTTTAGATCGGTGCATAGAAAACACTGTTTCAGAATACTTGGCAAGCAAACTGTAAATAAAAAATAAAATAAAATAACAAAAAGTAACAAACAAGTTAGATGATTTTGTAGGTTTTCGTTGGTTTAGTCGAGCGGATTCTTCGAAGATTTAGGTATTTTTGTGCATAAGATACACTGTATTAAGCAATAATATAAACTAAAGTAATTAATACAAATTTCATTGTTTGAACTTGCATCAACAACTGGCAAGTTTAGACTACGATGGCACGCGTGGAAGTTTCTCAGGTATATTCTGTGGTTTTTAAGTAGTTTTTTGTAATCATCAAAATTTGAATGACGTCACCCTAAGGCTATTTTCATACTATGATTACTATCTCAACATCCACCACTAATTTCTATTCCATCCTTTTGCATACTAACATATGTGACAAGTTTTTGAATAGTTTTTCTTAGTTGTTGCAATACCTTAAAAAAAAATTAAAAGTTTAATTTAACTTTATAAAATTGGTTTATTAAGTGAAAATTATCTTTTATTTATATATTTTTTAATTATTTTATATGTAATTGATATACGACTTGAATTTTTACTAATACATCTTCTCACATATAATATTATTGGACTTTGTATGTAGATATGATGAAAAATCTTTTTTAATGATCTATGATAATTGAAACTTAATTAAGTTTATTTCGATACACTTCTTGACGTTTAACATTATTAAACTTAGTGTATGTAACAATGGTGGGAGTGAATTTAAATAACACACACACACATATATATATATATATATATAT